AATGCGGAAAGTGATGCGATGTTCATCTTGTTTAGGGTATCCATTGAAAGAAAAGAGGATATACGTCATCGGGCCAACTCAAAGAGACTTCGAAAACGCCATTGGGCGTCATTGTAGCCTGGACGATGTAAGGATAAGAACTCCCCTGATCCAAATCCATCGGAATAAATAAGAGATGTGACAGTCGCTGATGGATCAATCTCAAAGTTGACATCCATTATTCAAGAATATAACCCTTCCCGAAGACATGAGGCGCTCTAAAGTGAAAGATGAAAAAGACATGGTCGTGTTTGGCATACACGAGAAAAGATTAGTTATATTTCTTTTCCTTGACGACTTCAAGGCAAACAAGGAAGAAATGGAAGGAGAAAAAGAAAGACGAAAACCACGTGGACCCACGTCGCTTCCTATCTTTTCTCTCTGCCCGTTTCTTTCTTGTGTGCACTTACCATCTCCCTTTGCCTCCCTCGCCATGGTTATGCCGCATCTTCATTTTTCGCCTCACTCAAATATCACGTGATTTTTTTTCCGGGATGGGAAGAGTGAGTAGTCGGCACTTGATGCCCTAGTCTGAGACGCAAGGTACTCAATCCCTGCATCTTCCAGATGCTTTGGGAAAATGCGAAATGGGTATCCCACGAATGCAATATGGACAAGAACGCACTTGGAAGTTTGCTATGAAAATAAAAGAGAATCAAATACGACCATTTTTATAATGGCAACGAATATTGCAGCCACAGAGAGCCAGCAGCGGTTGCGGGTGCCACAGGAACACCGGAGCAGCGACATCTATGACAACCTTGAAATACCCGAAGCCTTCACATGTGGATCCTAGATGGCGGACCCTTCGCCGCTTAGGCTATGTGGAGTTATGGACTGCAACTTCTTTTCCCTGGCACACCTAATCCATCGTACTGGCCAAGAGATGGTATGACTACGGTGTTGCTCTTGTCTTCTTCAATTCGCGGCCGATAAGCGAATAAAGAGAAGACTGACCACCTGTCATGATGAAAGTAGCACATTCGCAACCATGGAGATTTTCATGACGTCAAGAAACCGGTTTGACTTCAAATATATTGACTTCAAATATATTGCTCGACAGTCACAACCATCTCGTCTACCCCTTAGATGTATGGAAATCTCAGTCAGACCCCATACACGGCTGCCCATCCTTTCTCCTCAGAGACGAATCAGTTTTTACTTGACCCCATTTCCTGGATCAGTGTCCTGGGGCAAAAATCATATTTCGTTCAGCATTTCCCTCCCAAGTATAAATGAACAGATTCGCTCGTCTTATGGTTTTCAGGGAATGCAAACGGGAAGACTACCTATTTGCATTGCTAAAAAATTCGCACTTCTGCTTTTCGCAAGGGCTTCCATCTGTGGGAGTTTTTGCTGTGGTAAGTGGTAGTTTCATTAATTTCAGCAGAAAGAAACTATGAGAACTTCCGGCGCACAACGTTTACCGAGGACATACAGTAATATTGTAGGAAAAACTCTTAAGGTACAGGAACGTGCAACCCCATTTCCGGAGGAGAAAATATGTTACATATCGAACTAATTCTCTTCCCCTCCCCACGATTGAAAAGTGAATAGCTCATCACTTCTCCGATAAATTTATTTCCTCTGGCTTACGTGAATGATGATACCTGTACTTGGAAGATTGAGTCCTGCTGATATTCAATCAGCTTCCTTGAGAACCTTCCAACACCCAAGAACACGACCAATTTTTCTGGCCATTTATTATTATCCTTCTTTCGGGACGCAGTTTGCGTAATTAACTCTGTCTGATACTCTTGGTTTGACGTCATAGTTCCCCATTTCATCTTCGAGGTATCAGGGTGGAATAAGAAATGTGTTACTAAAAACCCCACTCGTTCATTTAAAAGAGAAATAACCATCGAAATTTGAACCCCAAGGATATCGGGTATTGAAAAGATGGTTTTCGCTGGTTGTGGTGCTCATCTCGCCAGTGTGTTAGTTTTCAAAATTCAAGGGTGATAGAATTTGCGCTAGGAAACGGATCTGGCCCTTACAGGGCCGAATTAGGGGGGGGGGGGGGGGGGGGGG